AAAAATGTCAGTTCAGTTCAGTTGGTCAGTCATGTCCAGCTCTTTGAGACCCCATAGACTGCAGCACACCTGGCCTCCCTGTCCATCACCCACACCTGGAACTTACTCAAACTCATTTCCATCAAACTGGTGATGCCATCCAATCATCTCATCCTCTGTCGTCCCCTTCTCCTCCCACTTTCAATCTTTCCTAGCATCAGGGTCTTTTCAAATGAGTCAGTTCTTCACATCAGGTGGCCAAAGTATTGGAGCTTCAGCTTCATCATCAGTCTTTCCAATGAATATTGAGGACTGATTTCCTTTAGGATTGACTGGTTGGATCTCCTTGCAGTCCAAGGGACTCTCAAGAGTCTTCTCCAACCCCACAGTTGAAAACCATAAATTCAGAGCTCAGCGTTCTTTATGGTCCAACTCTCACACCCATTCATGACTACTGGAAAAACCACAGCTTTGACTAGATGGACCTTTGTTGGCAAAGTAATGTCTCTGCTTTTTAATATGCTGTCTAGGTTGGTCATAGCTTTTCTTCCAAGGAGCAAGCATCTTTTAATTTCATGGCTGCAGTCACCATCTGTAGTGATTTTAGAGCCCAAGAAAATAAAGTCTGTCACTGTTTCCATTGTTTCCCCATCTATTTGCCATGAAATGATGGGACCGGATGCCACGATCTTAGTTTTCTGAATGTTGAGTTTTAAGCCTGTTTTTTCACTCTCCTCCTTCACTTTCATCAAGAGGCTATTTGCTTTGCTTTCTCCCATAAGGGTTGTATATTCTGCATATCTGAAGCTATTGATATTTCTCCTGGCAATCTTGATTCCAGCTTGTGCTTCATCCAGTCCAGCATATAAATTAAATAAGCAAGGTGGCAATATACAGCCTTGATGTACTCCTTTCCCAGTTTGGAACCAGTCTGTTGTTCCATGTCTGGTTCTAACTGTTGCTTCTTGACCTGCATACAGATTTTTCAGGAGGCAGGTAAGATGGTTTGGTATTCCCATCTCTTTAAGAATTTTCCAGTTTGTTATGATCTGCACAGTCAAAGGCTTTGGCATAGTCAATAAAGCAGAAGTAGATGTTTTTCTGGAATACTTTTGCTTTTTCTATGATCCAACAGATGTTGGCAATTTGATCTCTGGTTCCTCTGCCTTTTCTAAATCCAGCTTGAACATCTGGAAGTTCTCGGCTCATGTACTGTTGAAGCCTCACTTGGAGAATTTTGGAAAATGTACCTACTAAGAAATTTTATACACAGTCTTGTATGTTTGGGGTGATTTTTATATGTAACATAATATGGCATGTGAAATGTTTGAGAAAGACAGAGAGAACAAAATTAATTGATAAGATGAGACACACAGAATTTGGATCAGCAAGAAAAATGTGTTTAGCTCACAGAATGCTTGAAAGGTCAGGACTAGATGGTGGACTGTCCAGGAGGGAAAGCCTGGTCAGGAAGTGTTGCCGGCTACAGTCCTGATGGCCCCCCTGGCCATTCCACGGACAGTCAGAGAGAATGTGGCAAAGCAGGAGGGGGCAGGAGAGCCAACAACAACAACAAAAAAAGCACTGTCATTTGATTTCCAGTGAAGGGGACCAAATTCTAGGAACAGATATGGCTGAATCAATTCTCTTCCTCAATGCATCACTGTACAGTCATTACAAAGAACCAGACCCACGTGGCCTGTAACAGAAGAATGTTAACTTGCAGACCGATGTGTATGGCATCACTTCATGAGATCTCAGGCCACGAAATTCAAATGTGTGGGAAATGCAATCTTGTGTTTCTCGGACTTAGTTTCTATCTGAAGTCCTCGTTCTTCCAGGAAGTGACCTCCCCGCTGTGCCCTGTCCCTTGCAGTGGGGCCTGGCCCCATCCCCAGCAGTGGGTGTGGGTACAGTGGGTGTGCCCCAGCAGCCACCTGGGGCCTGGGAAGCCCTGTTCAGCAGAACAATGAGATGGTGGTGCCAGAACCAGTCCCCAAGCCATCAACCAGAGCCAGACAGACAGCCTCGAGCTTCTTCAGTGTGAGAAAGAACTTTTAGCTTGTTTAAGCTTCAGATATTTGGGAGATTTCAGTTACAGGCACATTTAAACCACTGCATTGGACTAACGTGCCCCCAGGGAGCTCCACCGACATCTTAAAATATCAGACTTTGAAACTTCACCTGCAGGGAGGAGACATAGTGGGGTGGACAATAGGACAGGTTGCCCTTAGCAACTGGTGCAGGGACTCCCGTGTTGGATGGCTCAGTGGTTTCTCCATTTGGAGCTCAGAGGGACCCCTAGGCCATGGAGATGTGGAGATCAGGTGGCCTGGAGCTGGGACGAGGCCATAAAATCAGCAGATGGTGGAGGAGGCGTGGGAGTCACACTCGGCTAATTCCAGGGTTGGGTCACCTTCTGTGACATAACGTTGCCACTTTAGGGCCACGCTGTGTCCCAGAGAGCACACTTCCTGTCCTGCAGTCACCCGCCTTCTATAGGCGCTGTCCCCGCCTGCCTGTCCCCACTGTGTCTGACCAGGCAGGCAGCCCCATCCTCATTGCTTCCTCTGTCTCATCAGTGGTTAGCGCTCAACCATTAGTGGTTAGCTTTCAAGACCTGCAGGGAGAAATCTCTAAATATGGGGTTCTAGACACTACAGGAAACATTGGGGCAGGACTGGGGAGCAGTCGTTGAGACCCTCACATCGCTTCCTTTGAGGTTGGCTGTGCTGCTCCACCACCTCCAACAGGATGACTGAAATGACCTCACAAAGGCGTCATTTCTACTGTGAGTCCCTGTGTGGACACTGGTCCCAGCACATCTATAGCTGCCCTCTGGTTCTCTAAGAGGCCAAGATGACAGAGGCACGCATACAACAGGTGCTCAGTAGATGCATGCCGAAGGAACAGGACTTCTCCCGGGGAGGAGGCCTGGGGACGCATGGCTGCCACGCCCTTTCCAGGAGCGCCCTGCGTCCTAAGGCCTGAGTCACACCTCCCAGGTGCTCCAAGTGTGCGCGTGCCTTCTGTGCCCCACCCCCTGACCCCAGCAGGGCTGCCTCTGGCTCTGTTGTAGCCACAGCGAGGAGTCAGGGGCCCAATGTACCCTCCTGACGCATGGCTTTCATCCTGCGCCCTGGAGAAGCTGCTCCTGGGTTGGCAGAGAAGCACTCCTTCATGGTTCAGACAGGCTTCACTCTGATCCAAACCCTTGTGATGTTCAAGGGTGGCCTGCTTCTCTCTCAGAACCACATGTCTGCTTTGTCCAGACATGTCTTCTGAGCAGAAGGAAAACCAGAGGTTTTACTGTTATTGTTAACAATGACCCAGCTCCAATACTTTGACCACCTGAGGCAAAGAGCTGACTCATTGGAAAAGACCCTGATGCTGGGAAAGATTGAAGGCAGGAGGAGAAGGGGACGACAGAGGATGACATGGTTGGATGGCATCACTGACTCGATGGACATGAGTTTAAGCAAGCTCCAGGAGATAGGAAAGGACAGGGAAGTCTGGTGTGCTGCAGTCCATGAGGTTGCAGGGAGTCAGACACAACTTAGCAACTGAAAAACAACAGCATCCTCTGTGTTTAAAGCCTTCTTCAGAAGTTTTGCCCAAGAGTCTAAGAAAAATCAGAGAGGGTATTTTTTAATACACATTTGAAAAATGGATTCAAAGCCTGCAATTAATGTATTTGCTACCAGTAAATAAAGAGTATAACTGTGACAATCAGAAAGAGAAGACTCAGAATCAGGGCTTTGCTTGGGAGAAGCGGAAATGGAGCTGAAATGGTCCCCTCCATGGGCCCAGATGTGGTTTTGTTTTGGTTATTTATTTATTTACAATTTAAAAAATTCAAATCTAGCTGATTTTTTTGTTTTTGTTGTTTTACCAACAGCAGAGTTTCAGATTTCCAATTAGCCTATGTCCACTCTCAAAGGAAGATCAGATGCTGCCCAGAACAAAATCCTGACATCTCAAGTCCATGAGGCCATCCCTTGGGTTAGCCAATCTGGCCAGAATTGTTTATAATACAACCACATGTCTTTGATCATGCCTCCAATTTGCATTAGAATCTTTTCTCCCACAGTGTGTTCTGAAGGGTCCTCATTTGTGGTTTGTCTCACGAGTAAAGAACTTTTAAAATGAATAAACTTTCTGTGTTCTCCAGGAACAAAATCACTTCTTGAACTAGAACTTGAACCAGTTGCTACTAACTCAGAGTTAATTGAACTTGGGACTTCCCCGGTGGTCCAGTGGGTTAACTCCACGCTTCCAATGCAGGGGACATGGGTTCAATCTATGGTCAGGGAACTAAGATCCCACACGCCAGTCAGTGCAGTCAAAAAATATCTTTAAAAAATTATAAAAAGAAGTAAGCTGAACTCTTCTTTTTGATATGTTCACTGTGATATTCCATTGTTGGCAAATGAGTTCACCTTCTAGAATCACCAATAAGAACTAAAAGCAAGAGTGAAATAGAATAAAGCATTCCTAAAATGCGGGTCACAGAAACTCTTCCCCCCAAAAGTCTTATAGACCTTCTGGTCTTGGAATAAGGAGCCAGCTTTGTGCCTTCACAGGTGTGTAAGCATGCTTGGGGTAGAGTTGGCTGGAAGAGTCACCATATTCATAAACCAGTAGTCCTCCAAGGAGCCTATGTGCTAAAATACTTTTGCCAACATGATGCCTACAAAGATGTTTTCTTTCAGAGAGAGAATAAAACAATACTTATTCTAGGAAACCAATGACAGAGGCCTCTGGTCTAAGAGTATTTAAATGCTACTGGGCTTTCAAAATACTTTGGATAAGTAAGTACCTGCTAACCACCAATAGCTCTCACTAGAGAAGATAAGTAGATAAAAGATAGCCAGAGCTTTGAGAGACTTCAAGAAAACAAAATAGAACAAAGCACAGTTAGCATTCTTTAGAAATGGTATTGATCTGAGGGCAGGCGGGTGGGAGGAAGAGCTCGGGGCTTCTGAACATTTCTCCAGGTGAGAACTCGGTCCTCATTTCTGTCACGAGGTCCCCTGCGAAGCATCTCTCTCGGGTGCCTGTGCGTTGAGTTCTGATGTTTGAACCTGAAGGTAAATCTTGTTTTCTTTGGGTTTTGCTTTCCTGCAGCAACCAAAATGAAAAATTTAAGTTACAATAGGAACTTCCCTGGTGGTCCGGTGGCTAAGATTCCGCACTCCCAAAGCAGGTGGCCCCAGGTTCGATCCCTGGTCAGAGAACTAGATCCTGCCTGCCACAACTAAGATCCGATGCAGCCAAAGAAATAAAAACCTCTTTTTAGTTTTTAAGTTAAAATCAATAATGGCATTTTAAGAATCTGTTGCAAAGTTTCACTTGGGAATAAGTCTCAAAAGAGAAGGTGAGAACAAACAAAGCAGGTGATGAAAAAGAACAGGGTCAGCAGAGACCCCAGGTGGCCAGTTCTGGTTCTCCGCCTGTTTCACTACAGCCTGTGCACTATGTCTGGTTTCTTGAATTTTAACATAGTTTTTGAAAGTCAAATGTAAAATATTATTTCTTGACACCTGAAGAGTAGATGAACTCTCAATGTCAACATCCATAAATAAAGTTGTGCTGGAACCCAGCCATGCCCATTCATTTATGAACTGTGACTGCTTTCGTTCTGAAAGGGCAGAACCTGGTGACAAAGATGGAACGTCCCCGAAGCTGGGAATATTTAGTCCTTGGTCCTTTACAGAGAGGTTTTGCCGATCCTTCCACAGAGCATCTGTTGTGTTTCTGTCTCACAAGATCACCTGAGAGCATTCCATTCTGAAGCTGGGGCTCGGGGGTATCTGTCATGATTTCCTTTATCCGTAGAGTAGGTGTGCTAATGACAACAGATGCCTCACAATGTTTTGAGAGGATGGGGTGAGACAGCATCTGAAACTCAGTGAATTTGACGCACTGCAAGCCATCTATTAGCCAGAGTTCCCATCACTCCCATTCCCTGACCTTGTTTCCTGGAAAATAGGGAAGAACGTGTCATTTTTTAACTAATCAATTGATTTGGCTACAAAGGATTTTGTTGCAGCACGTGGGATCTTTTAGTTGCAGCATGTGGAATCTAGTTCCCTGACTGGAGATTGAACCCAGGCCCCCTGTTTTGGGAGCATGCTGTCTTAGCCACTGGACCACCTGGGAAGTCCCAAGAAGGTGTCATTGAAATGCTGTCTCTATTTAAGAAGTTCGTATAGCTGAGAAGACAGATAATGAAATAAGTGGGGATTATACATAGTGAAAAGCATTATCAAGAACAGAGGGTGTCCATGGCAGCATAGAGCTCCAGGCAGAAGCCCTGGCCTCCCCTGGCAGGGCAGGAAGAGCTCTGATGATGGAGTGAAGGGATAAACACAACATCGTAAAAGATGACCAAGTGCCTATTAACAAATTATAACGAAACTTTTCAAAATCAGGTAGTCAACCTTAGCTATATGTGTCTACTCCTTGGGACCAAAGGAAGATATTTTCAGCAAGGACAAATGTGTAACTGTATGTGTCTATGACACATATGACAAAATGTGCTTACAGTTCAAATAGAGTGTGTGTCCCTTATCAGTATTGAGAGATGAAGAGTTTCTCAAAGCGAGGTGCACTGACGGGTATTGATTGTCATTAAAAGATCAGGTTCCCGCATTCAGTTATGAAGTCAAAAACCTAAAGGGCCTAGGAATCTGCATTTTAGCAAGCTCCATTTGTGACTCCTCTGCAGAGTAAATTTGAGAATCACTGAGGAAATCATACAATGTGCATGAAGAATGGCAAGAATCTAAGATTTGTTGAACACCTACTATGTGCCAGGCAGTGGATAAGTCGTTGTCACCTACTTAACCTCACTGAATTTTCACAGCACACTTCTCAATTAAGTATTATTGTGGCTATTTTTTAGGCAAGGAAATGAAGGTTATAGGGTTCAAAGGCATTCCCAAGGTCACATTGCCAAGTAGGTGGCTGCCCCTGGACTGAACCTAAGCCTCAATGAGTCCCCAGAGTGTCTTCTCTCTACTTCCCAGGGACATGTGGGCCCTCACATGGAATCCAGAGAACCAAGCCTATAATGACTATATCATCAGACACTTTTTCTCCTTTTCCTGTTTGATGGCTTTAAGAGTAGGACCCGAGACTACACTGAAGCACTTGTCCCTGTTACAGGAGCGAAAGTTTTAAGTCATTCTTCTCTGTGAAGAAAGTCACTAAACAGTTTGAACCAACAGTCACGAAAAAGACGGAAGATTGATTTAAAGATAGCTCCCAGCAACTCTGGGGTGAGCGAGGGGCCGTGGTGCTCCGCGTGGTCAGCATCACAAACGAAAGCTCGTGTCTCGTGGTTTAGAGCAGGTGACCGTCAACCGAAAAATACGTTCCTGCTCTCCCTGCTTGCCTTTTCAGCCAACAGTCACTGCGCTGTGTTTCTCTCTGTAGCAGCTCTGGGGGTGAAAACAGGCCGAACAAGACCTGTAAAGCTCTCCCAGGAGACAGGAAGTGGAGAGTGCTCATAACAGGGAGGGCACGTCTAACATGGGCCCCTGGGTCCCTCAGTGGCCGGGGCTCACCTCTGCAGGTTCTCGGCGTCCTCGATGGTCTCTGGCAAAGTGATCCCCTTGGTCTCTGGAAGAAGCAGCGTCATTCCCCCGGCAACCAGCCCCAAAGCCGCTTCAAACAAGATAGATTCAACATGGAGCCGTTAGAGCATGGCCAACCCCATTTACAGATGATGACAGCTAACTAAAGAGGTGTGTAGGCAATACACATGTGAGGGCCACTTCCAAAAGTCAGGGACGTCTAGGAAATTAAAAGCGATACGATGACATGGGAAATGGCAGAGTGAGAAAAGGAAACACTTCCCTCCTTGTACACCTGTAATGTGCTTAGTCGCTCAGTCGTGTCCGACTCTTTGCGATCCCTTGGACTGTAGCCCACCAGGCTCCTCTGTCCATGGAATTCTCCAGGCAAGAATACTGGAGTAGTTACTTACCATGCCCTCCTCCAACCCAGGGATCCAACCCAGGTCTCCTGCATTGCAGGCGGATTCTTTACCAGCTGAGCTACCCAGAAAGCCTCATTTGTACATGTACCTGAGAATACAGTTCTAAAGCAACTGATGTTTAAATATTAGGGGGGTTTATTGGTTCAGTTACCTTGGGAACAATAGAAAACTCAATGTTGACTAGTAACTATATATATAAAGTATATATGTAGCAATTATATGCGTGCACGCATGCTAAGTCACTTCAGTCATGTCTGATGCTTTGAGATTCCATGGACTGTAGCCCACAGGCTCCTGGGTCCATGGGATTTTCCAGGTAAGAATACTGGAATTAGTTGCCACACCCTCCTCCAGGGGATCTTCCCAAACCAGGGATCAAACCCACGTCTCTTACGTCTCCTGCATTGGCAGGCAGGTTCCTTACCGCTAGCACCACCTGGGAAGCCCATATTATATGTATATACATGATATAATGTAATATGATATATTATATAATTGTATAATATAAACTATCCACGCATGTTCAGTCACTCAGTTATGTCTGGCTCTTTGTGGCCCCATGGACTGCAGCCATCCAGGCTCTTTTATCCTTGGGATTTTCCAGGCAAGAATACTGGAGTGGGTTTCCATTTCCTCTTCCAAGGGATCTTCCCAATCCAGGGATTGAACCCGCATCTCCTGCACTGGCAGGCAGATTCCTTACTACCACGCCACCTGGGATGCCCATTTATAAACGATACAGTGTATATTATAGCTACTACACATATACGACAGGGAGCCTAGGTGATGTGTACGTGGGCAGTGTGGGCCTCTCTTGCTGCTCACCCACTCCCACTCCACCCTACCCTCATGGGTTCACCTGGCCCAGACGTGGCAGCTCTCCACACGTGGGCCGTCGATCTGCCCTCTGCTAAGTGGCAGGCTTGGGGAGAAGCAGATGAGTTCCCTCCTCTTCCTCCAATCTAACATAATCAGTAACAAACCAGGTACTGAATTTAGATTCCCATTGTCCCTTTGTGTCTGTTGTCAACTGTTAAGACCTGGAAGCAGAAGTGGAGTGATAACCTAGCATCTTCAAACCTCTAGCGATCGCATGTTAAGTTCACCAAAGTTGGGAGTCAAATTCATCAGAAACCAGGAGGCTATGTCAAAAATGCTCTCCTGTTCTCTTCTGTGGAAGGAATTATTGGACTCCAGAGCCACGGGACAGAAACCTCTGGGCCATGTTATAAGAGTAGCTCTTATCTTTCCCGTGAAGCAACACAGAGGAGCCAGGAGATAGGGAAAGAGCAGGTACCATCCTTCCCTTCTGTACACTCACTGGGGGATACCATTCATTCATCAAGTAGTTATCAACTATTCACACTGGGCTGTGAATAAGAAATGGTAAATGTGTCATGAAGTCTTACCAAACAAAATGAGCGGCGAGCCTTGCCAAACCTCCATCAGCCTGAAGACGAGGAATGGGGTGAGAACCCCACCCAAATCACACAGGGAGGAACACACCATCATGCCAAGGTTCCTGGTAAAATACAGAGACCAAAATAGATGCCATTTCTGTGAATCAATTTTCCAAATGGTGAACTTAACACTAAAGCAATTACACTGCCCATTCCCCAACCTCCAGGGAGGGGAGAGGGGCTGGAGATGGGGTTAATCTCTGAGGACTGGACTTCCGTGGTGGCAGAGTGGATAGAAACCCGCCTGTCAATGCAAGGAACATGGGTTCCATCCCTGGTCCGGGAAGATTCCACATGCTGTGGAGCAACTAAGCTCGTATGCCACAAATACTGAGCCCGTGGTCCTGAAGGAAGAGTAGCCTGTGCTCACCGCAACTGGAGAAAGCCCGAGCACAGCCACGAAGACCCAGCACAGCCAAAAATAAATAAATATTCTTTTAAAAAAATCACTGATGAATTCATCAATCACGCCCATATAACATGCTAAGAGAATGGCACATCCCAGCTCCAGGGGAACAGAAGTGCCTGTGCTAGGACTCTGCTAGCCTTGCCCTGTGAATCTCTTCCTCTGGTTGCCTGTTTATAACTTCTATAACAAACGAGTAAGTGTAATTGCTTCCCTGAATTCTGTGAGCCTTATAGCAAACTAATGAACTCCAGGAGGGAGGTTGCTAATTCCGAGTAGTTAATGTCAGAATTTCATGCGAAATGCTGGGCTGGATGAAGCACAAGCTGGACTCAAGATTGCTGGGAGAAATATCAATAACCTCAGATACACAGATGACACCACCCTCATGGGAGAAAGTGAAGAAGAACTAAGGGGTCTCTTGATGAAAGTGAAAGAGGAGAGTGAAAAAGCAGGCTTAAAACTCAACATTCAGAAAACTAAGGTCATGGCATCCAGTCCCATAACTTCATGGCAAATAGATGGGGAAACAATTCGAGACTTTATTTTGGGGGCTCTGAAATCACTGCAGATGGTGTCTGCAGACATGAAATTAAAAGATACTTGCCCCTTGGAAGAAAAGCTATGACCAACCTAGACAGCATATTAAAAAGCAGAGACATTACTTTGTCAACAAAGGTCTGTCTAGTCAAGACTACGGTTTTTCCAGTGGTCATGTATAGATGTGAGAGTTGGACTATAAAGAAAGCTGAGCGCCAAAGAATTGATGCTAAGCACCAAAGAATTGAGAGTTGGACTATAAAGAAAGCTAAGCACCAAAGAATTTGAACTGTGGTGTTGGAGGAGACTCTTGAGAGTCCCTTGGACAACAAGGAGATCCAACCAGTTCATCCTAAAGGAAATCAGTCCTGAGTATTCATTGGAAGGACTGATGTTAAAGCTGAAGTTCCAATACTTTGGCCACCTGATGAAAAGAACTGACTCATTGGAAAAGACCCTGGTGTTGGGAAAGACTGAAGGCAGCAGGAGAAGGGGATGACAGAGGGATGACATCACCAACTCGATGGGCATGAGTTTGAGCAACTCTGGGAGTTGATGATGGACAGGGAGGCCTGGTGTGCTACAGTCCATGGGGTCACAAAGAGTCAGACATGACTGAGTAACTGAACTGAACTGAACTGAACTGAATGTCAGAATTGGATTGTAACAACGGTCTGGAGATTTGGAGAACTGGTTGGTGTGATCAGAGTTTTTGCTTTCACATAGAGGGACAGGGAAGAATAAAGAGAGGAGATTAAGAAATGAAGGACGAAGAAAGCTAGGGAGGAAACCATCTACTTGAAATGACCTCTTTATCCCTGGCAATAGTTTTTGATCATTCTGTCCTTTATGAATATAGCCACCCCAGTGTATTCCTGTAAATAATCTTGAGCTTTGGGTCGAAGACGTGGTTAAATCAGGAAAGATAAATCAAGAAAAGTTTTATCCTTTTAAGCTTCTTCTATTACATCCATTTGCACAATTTCTTACTCCCTAAAATGAGTAATTATAACATTAGTACATTTTTCTTCCCTTCCCAAGGTCTCCCTCTACGACCTCAGTTTAGTTGTTTCCTTAGTGTTTGCCATTATAATCTTTAATACTTTCAATAATATCTTTCTTTTTAACTGGGAGACATACTGAGAAAACTATATGAAAAATTATCTATCCATGTTAATTGAGAGATTTAAAAAACAAAAATAGATGTCGATTTTTATTGAATGCCTCTTTTATCTATGGAGAGAAGAGTACAATTTTCTCTTTTATTAGCATGAACTATGCTATGATTTTCTAATATTAATGTATCTTTGTATTCCTAGAATAACTCATCTTAGATAGATGTATTATTATTTTAATGTGCTCCACTATTCTGTTTGATAATACATTGTTTAGGATTTGAATTTATCATTCATAAATAATATTCACAGTTTCCTGTTTCCTTTATTTTTGTTATTTGACGCCAATATCATGAGAACTTTATAAACAATTTTTTTAAAACTTCCTCCTTTTCCTATATTCTAGAACTGTGGATCACTGAAGTTTTCTATTAATTAAATGTTTTGTAAAACTATCCTATGAAACCATTGTGGATTTCCTCTTAACTATGATTTAGGGTCTTCTTTGTCTTAATAGTTTTTGCCATAAATTAAGTTTTGTATGATAAAATCGTGGTTCTTGCTATATTTTTGTTTCCATTTACCTAGTATGTGTGTGCTGTGCGCTCGGTCATGTCTGACTCTTTGCGACCCCATATGGGCCGTAGCCCACCAGTCTCCTCTGTCCATGGGATTCTCCAGGCAAGAGTACTGGAGTGGGTTGCCATTTCCTCCTCCAGGGGATCCTCCCAACCCAGGGATCAAACACATGTCTCCTGAGTCTCTGCATTGCAGGTGGATTCTCTAGCACTGAGCCACTGTGGAAGCCCCTGGTTTGGGGCATTCCTTGTTTTTCAACCTTTCCGAGAAGTTGTACTTCAACTATGCAGCAAATTGTTGGATTTTGCTTCATAATGAAATTAGAGTCTTTTTACTTTTGTTTTTCAATAAAGGAGTCGAGTCTCTTTATATTTATTTAAATATCAGAAATGTTTGTTCTTAATTATATCATTAACTGTTTATTAATATTTAATAAATATTTTAACATATGCCATGTTTTTATTGTTTTCTGTGTCTTTTATTTCTCAATTTGTGTTGGTTATATGTACTTTTTCTGATAATTTGGAAGGTTTGATTTTTATTCCAAAGATTACCTTTATAACTTTTGTAATACACTTAATATTCTATTTCTTCAGATAGTATTGGTTAACTATTATGAACTACTTTAAAATTAGTGTTTTTTTACTTTCTCCTCAAACCATCCCTCCATGCACTGACTGTAGTTAATAATAGCATTGTTTTTACTGTTTGCCTTCATCCCTTAAAATATGCCTATAAAACTACTTAATTATTTGTTTTTAGTGATACATTTTTTTCCTGGATAAAGTATTGAGGAAATCAGTGTATCACACCACCTCCAACATTCTCTCTCTCTTCGTTTCCAACTTTTTTTAGTTATTGAGCTTCCCTGATAGCTCAGATGGTAAAGAATTTGCCTGCAAGGCAGGAGACATGGGCTCCACCCCTGAGACAGGAAGATCCCCTGGAGAAGGGAATGATTCCAGCATCCTTGCCTGGAGAATTCCATGGACAGAGGAGCCCGGCAAGCTGTGGACCATTTTCAGTTATAGCATTTCTGTATTGTCAATTTATATTCTGTAATCAAAACAGAAACTGAGGGTTTTAATCTCAGATTCAGTGATCACCATCAGTAATTTTGAAGTATTACTCCACTTACTGTGTTTACTGAGAATTTTTTCTCTAATAGCTTTTTTGGAAAAGTTTTGTAGGAACCATGTTTTTTAAGGAACAAAATAATTGGATGTTGTTTTTATTTGGGAAAAGGAGTTTGGATGAAATTTGTTGAGTTACATTTTCTGTCATTGGGATCATTTCAGGCATTGTTTCACCATCTTCACCAAATGATATCAGCTTGATTTTCTCTTTGTATATGTGACTTTCACTTTCAGCCTGGGTACCTCATAAACCTTTCTTTATCTCTGAAGCACAGTAACATAACTGGAATATTTATTAATGTTGCTCAGAAGCAAGTTTTCCTGAAACACTCGCTGTATGCCACCTTCAAATCATAGATCCAAGCATTCTTTTATTTCCAGAAGTTTTTTTAAGTTCTTTTTTAACTTAAGTTCTTTGGTTTCATTATTTCAATGATCTTCTTTGGGACATATGTATATATAAGCATAATCTCTAAGCCTTTTAAACTCTTTGCTTATTTCAATCTTACTTTGCAATTCTTAGTTCTGTCTTACCTTTCCTTTCCTTTCCTTTCCTTTATCAATTCTCCCTATACTGCTTTCAAAGTAGTTCTTATTTGTGAAAGATTTTAATATTTCTTTTTATTTTTTTTAGCCTGAGCTGACCATCAGTTGTCTTATCACACATTCTCCCAAGAATTTACATTCTCTGCTTAACACTTTTCTTTTACAGAGATGACTAATTCATTACTATTTTGCACTTAGTCATCATACACTTGGCTATACTTTTCATTTGCTTTCTGATAATATTTTTCTTATGCATTTTCTTCATTTGTCACTTGCTTTTCCTCTTCCTTTCTCCTTTTTATCTCATGATATATCTGTATAGCTCCTGGGCAAGTTACTTTTTTATTTGTGATTCAGCATTCAATACTATTATTTCTTTCTGTAACAGTTATTTTAGAAGGATTTGCGGTGAGGGACCAGGGCATGCTTTAAGCTACTAGAAATTCTCTTTCTGGCCAGGGCTGTCCAGATGCTTTGACTCTCTTATCCCTACTCATAAAATTAAAAGATGCTGGCTCCTTGGAAGGAATACTATTGCAAACCTAGACAAAATATTAAAAAGCAGAGGCATCACTGCCACAAAGGTCCATCTAGTCAAAGCTATGATTTTCCCAGTAGTCATGTATGGATGTGAGAGTTGGACCATAAAGAAGGCTGAGCGCCAAAGAATTGATGCTTTTGAACTGTGGTGCTAGAGAAGACTCTTGAAAGTCCCTTGGGCTGCAAGAAGATCAAACCAGTCAATCCTAAAGGAAATCAGTCCTGAATATTCATTGGAAGGACTGATGCTGAAGCTCCAACATTTTGGCCACCTGATGAGAAGAACCAACTCATTGGAAAAGACCCTGATGCCGGGAAAGACTGAAGGCAAAAAGAGAAGAGGGCAGCAAAGGATGAGACGGTGAGATAGCATCACTGACTCAATGAACATGAGTGTGAGCAAACTCCGAGAGATAGGGAAGGACGGGGAAGCCTGGTGTGCTGCAGTTCATAGGGTTGCAAAGAGTCGGACATGACTGAGCGACCGAACAACAACAACGGAGGTAGACAGTGTGGAACCGCCCACCCTGCAGGGTCTCTCTCCTCCATCCTGCCCCAGAGCGCAGTGCTCCCTCAAGGTTCCTGAGCGTTCTCCCGCAGCTTGCCCGCCCCTCCTCCCCTCCAGCCACACAGCATCCAAAGAAGGAAACACATACCTCCAGCCCCTGCACCCATCTTGTTCCTCCAAGAAGGGATTGTGGGTTAGGTCCTTCAAGCTCCCTTCCTACTTCGGAAAACCACTGGCCTTGTCTCAAATTTGGTGCCACAGCGGACCTCCCTGGAGTCTTCTAGACCCTTTTACATTCACTGTACGAGGCAGCCTTTTTCCTACACATTATCTTTCAAGGTCAACCTACTTTCAAAGATGGCATTTGCATCTCCTTCTTTTTTGTTGCTACTATTTTGTTGAAATTTTCATTGATAAAAATGTAGATTCTCATGCAGCAGTAATAAATAACAAAGATATGTCCTCATGTATTCTTCTCATTCTTCTAATAGCTTTAGTAAGATTTTCAAGAGGAGGAAAAAAAATTTTTTTTCAATAATTTTAAGAGAATAAGTCTTTTTAAAAAAAGAGAGAGAGAAAGATTTACTAGCACACAGAAGCTAGAAGAAGTGAGAAACTAGTTCCCATCTTTAAAATTCATAGGGCTTCCCTGGTGGGCCAGTGGTTCAGAATCTATCTTGCAATGCAGGGGACACGGGTTCATCCCAGGCCTGGGAAGATCCCCCAGGCCACAGAGCACCTAAGCCCAGGTGCCACAACTACTGAGCCTTGGCTCTAGAGTCCACGCTCTGCAACAAGAGAAGCCACAGCAATGAGAAGCCCGCGTGTTGCAACTGGAGAGTGGCCCCCACTCGCCGCAACTAGAGAAAGCCTACGTGCAACAGTGAAGACCCAGTGCAGCCAAAAATAATTTTAAATAATAAATAAATAAATATCTTTAAAAATAAAATTAAGAAAACTCAGGTCTCTGGGATACTTCAGTCATTCATTCAGCAAGCACCAGGTGCCTGGTTAGTATATCTACAGAGCAGTTTCAGGAGGTACAGACAAGTATGCTATGTAGTTTCTGTTTTCAAGGAGTACACAATATAGAGAAGAGGTAAAAACAGGTGGCTGATTTTCAATACAAAGCAGAGCGTGCGTGTGTGCTAAGTCGCTTCAGTTGTGTCCAACTCTTGCGACCCTAAAAACTGTAGCCCACCAAGCTCTTCTGTCCATGGGATTCTCCAGGCAAAAATACTGGAGTGGGTTGCCATGCCCTCCTCCAGGGGGTCTTCCCAACCCAGGAATCAAACCCACGTCTCTTGTGTCTCCTGCACTGGCAGGCGGGTTCTTTATCACTAGTGACACCTGGGTCTTGACAGTTTATGTTGCAGACAGAAGGAGGATGCTGATTTTTGGCACAGCCAAAAATCAATAAATAAAATTATGAAAGTGAAAAGTGTGAGAGTGAAAGTCGCTCAGTCGTCTCTGACTCTTTGCGATCCTATGGTCTATACAGTCCACGGAATTCTCCAGGCCAGAATACTGGAGAGGGTAGCCTTTCTCTTCTCCAGGGGATCTTCCCAGCCCAGGGATTGAACCCAGCTCTCCCGCGTTGCAGGCGGATTATTTGCCAGCTGAGCCACTAAGGAAACCCAAGAATACTGGAGTGGGTAGCCTATCCTTTCTCCAGCAGATCCTCCCAACTCAGGAATCACACCAGGGTCTCCTGCATTGCAGGCAGAATCTTTACTAGCTAAGCCACAAGGAAGCCCATAAACCCATAAGTGAATACTTATTGGCGCCTGTATTGTAATCACTCTGGAAAAAGCCCAAACCTCCATGAACTGAGAAACGGACAAACACACCGTGGTCCATCTTCCACGCATGGAAGCCACACTCGGCAATAAGAAGGACTGGAGAACTGATACAAGTCACGGCGTGGATGGGTTCCCTGATGGCAAGTGAAAGAAGCCAAACACAAAAGCCTAACCCCAAGTTATTTCATGTATGTAACATTCGAGAAACGGCAAAGCCATAGGGAGAGAAATCAGATCAGGGGTTGCCAGGTGCTGGAGGCAGGAGGGGAGAAAACGGATCACAGAGGGACAGCAGGGAGCATTTGCATATGATGGAAATGTGTCTGCGTCACCTTGATCGTGGTGCTGGCGAAATGAATGGAATCAAGATTCATCAAACTGTGCCTTTGAGGGTGAATCTTGCTCTAAGAAAATTCTCCCTGAATAAACCCAACTTGAAACAATGAATGATCTGGCCCCATCGCTACATCTACAGAGTATTGTGTCATCATAGGAAAATACCAGCTTTAAGGGCAGCAAGAAGTGTGTTATTGGTTGCCAAGAGGAGGAGAAGGGGAGGGATGGAGTGGGAGGTGGGCCTAGCAGATGCAGACGGGTGTAAACAGGGCGGACAAACAGCCAGGTCCTACTGTAGGACACAGCAAACGGTACTCAATACCCTGTGACAAACCATAATGGAAAAGAATCTGAGAAAGAGTGTATTAATATGTATCCGTGTAACTGAATTACTTGGTTGTGCAGCAGAAATTCACACACACCATTGTAAATCAACCGTACTTCAATTGAAAAAAAAAAAAAATAAGAGGGGCGAAGAAGTGTGTTCTTACCTGGACCCTGCAGCTTTCTAGCTGTGTGACTCTGGGAAGGTCTCCCTCCCTTTGTAAAGCTCGGCCTGCTCACAGGTGAAAGGCAGGTAACAACGATTTTACAGGATGACCTGCACCCCACATGTGGCAAGGCTCCATATTTCACTGTCCAAACAGGAACTGCCCTTAACCAGATGTCTTTTCTCTCGTGCTGGCCCTCCGTACGGGGCACGATGCGACCCAGAGTCCACTTTAACCAGTCCATCTTACCTTCCCTACCGCATCAGGCGTGGGCTCTGTCTTTGATGCCCAGCCCCCATCTCAGTGTCAACCCATCCACCCTGGGGGGCATCTTCAAGAGTGGTCCTCAGTGAGCCCGACTTGCCCACAGCCCTGTCAGCAGCTAGCCGCCCCCTCGCCCCGGATACACTCACCGGATGAACGTAGGGAACAGCTCAGCATTGACCAGACACACCATCTGGAACACGATGGTGATCCCCATTCGGCCGACACAAGCTACTGCAATATTCAGCCAGGACAGATCTGGGAGGAAACAGACAGAGGGTGTGAGAGCTAGAGGGCTGTACCCACGGATTTGCCAGGAGACGCCGCAAATGGGAGCTTGGACTTAAGAGCTGGAAGGGCCCGAAAAGCTGTCTTATCCAACCCTTCCATGTTTGGATCAGTAAACTGAGCCTGGTGGCTCAGATAGTAAAGAATCTGCTTGCAATGCGGGAGACCTGGGTTTGATCCCTGGGTTGGGAAGATCCCCTGGAGGAGGAAACGGCATCCCACTCCAGTATTCTTGCCTGGAGAATCCCGTGGACGGAGGAGCCTGGCGGACTACAATCCATAGTGGTCTCAGCAACCACTCTAACTAAACTGAGTCCTGAGAGATTTGGGACTTGATGGCACGTGAGGGAAGACGTCACTGTGCAGAGGAAAGAATGTGCTTTTTTGAATCTCAGCTGTGCCTCCTGTCAGCAGAGTGATGAGGCAAATGGCTTACTTCTGCCTGCCTCAGTCTCCTCAGCTGTGAAATGGGAATCATCTCACCCAAATTATAGGTGGTGGTGAGATTTAGAGATAACACATGTCAACTGTGCATCATGACCATTCCACCAGTCCTGGCTTTTTATTATCCTCCAACAGTGTCCTTGCTGACACAGCTCCTGAAACACAGTAGGTCCTCAACAACGTGGTTCCCTCGGGCAGAAGTCCTAGAGCTGGTGGACCAGATTTCTCATCCTCGGCACTCATTTCCCAACACATTTTTAAAAATGTTTTATTTATTTATTTTTGATGGCACTGTGCAAGGGCTTTCTCTAGTTGTGTGAGCAGGGGCTGCTCTCTAGATCTGATATTGAGGGCTTCAGTAGTTATAGCTCGTGGGCTCTAGGACCTGGGCTCAGTAGTTCTGACACCTGGGCTTGGTTGTCCTGCAGCATATGGAATCTTGCCAGAGCAGGGATCAAACCCATGTCCCCTGCAGTGATAGCTGGATTCTTAACCCCTGGACCACCAGGGAAGTCCTCACAGCATATTTCTTAACCCAAGCATCTTTCACTGGTCTGAGAGGATGAGGGATGCAAACCCTCATCTCCTCCTAGCAGACGGCTCTGAGTCTTAATTAGCAGCAGGTCCAGAAGCCTTCTCCTTTCTGGGGAGCCATCAAAGCATTAGGCACCATCATCTGCTTCACCAGGATGTTAGGGGTTCACCCAAACCCCAAAGCACAAGTGGCTCCGAGCGAGGCCGGCTCACTAACAGAGCCTCCGTGGTCACAGACAGCATGTCATCTCACCCTTGTCCCCACGAGCCGGCTGCTCAAGGAGGACAGGCTTCCTTCCCCTCACCAGTGGGAAGCTCCGGGGAGAGCAGAGCCAGTGGCCTTGGGGCCGAGTTTGCCCGTGGCCAGCGCAGTCTCTCCAGGTCTTTGCCGCCCTCTGCCTGGAGGAGAGCCCAAGCAGAGCCCTTAGTTAAGGCTCCCACGAGATACCAGACAAGGCAGTTCACCCGGACACCGGGAGGAGGGCATCGGTCACAAATTCCGAAGCTTTGATAGACTTGGCGAGAAGCTCTACTGGACATGCACGGCGTCCTTGCCGTCAGAGAGCTGCCCTGCCCCTCTGGGCCCAGGTCACTCTCCCCAGCCGTTGGAGGGACCACTTACAACTGCAGTCCTGCCGTGTGGCTTCCTGCCATGCTTGAGATAAAACCCACGGGGGCATCTCTCCCTGTCTCCTGCTCACAAGGGTCCGGCTGCTCCTCCAAGGCCCAGCTCTCCCCATCCTCAGGGTCCTCACTCTTGCTGTTCCCTTTCCTAGAAACCTCCCTTCCTGTTTGTTAAAATGGCTCATTCCCTCTTCACTTAGGTCTCCTAAGGTCACCCTGGACCACCATACAAAGAATTAATGCCCCATCCCTCTTCCTCCTTCTCTTTTCCCTCTAGAACTTAAGCTCCAAGAAATGGAGTATTTCTCTGCTTTGCTCAAGGCTGAGATCCTGGGGCAGAGACACCACTCTGTCAAGTACACAGAGGAGCCTCCCAGGTGATGCTAGTGGTAAAGAGCCCGACTGCCAATGCAAGAGACATAAGAAATGCAGGTTCAACGCCTGGGTTGGGAAGATCCCCTGGAGGAGGGCACGGCAACCCACTCCAGTATTCTTGCCTGGAGAATCCCATGGACAGAGGAGCCTGGTGGGCTCCAAAGGGTCTTTGTTCCAGAGGGTCACAAAGAGTCAGACACAACTAAAGCAACTTAGCATGCACGCACGCAAGTACATAGAAGGTACTTGAAATAGTTTCGGGACAGGAGACAAAGGCTCGTCATCTAATGCGATAAGGACCAGTAAAGGCAAGTGGCGAGAGCGGGAGCTGGGAGAAGGTCCTGGGAGGAGGTGGGACAGAGGACGCAGTACCCAAGCTTCTTCCAGGCGATAATCAAGTGGCCTCAGATCCCAGGTTCCCTCTTGGGACTTGGCGCTGTTACTGAAAAAACAGTAACAATGAAAACCTCTACTCACTCATTCATTCCGTTTCACCAGGAATCTACAAACAGGGAGATCGGGGGAAAGAGGGGAAGCCGATTTCAGATGCTTGGCCGCTTTTCCTATCTTCTTTGTCCTTGGTGGCTTAGACAGCATAGCGCCTGCCTGCATTGTGGGAGACCCGGGTCCAATCCCTGGAGAAGATCCTCTGGAGAAGGAAATGGCTACCCACTCCAGCATTCTTGCCTGGAAAATTCCATGGATGGAGGAGCTGGCGTGCTACAGTCCATGGGGTTGCAAAGAGTCGGACACAACTAAGTGACTTCACTCACTCACTCACTCACTCACAAAAGGAGGGAGAAAAAAACCTGACTACCTTTTGCTACCTCTTAAAATTTCCAGCCTGCTCCGTATAGCCTGGTTCTTGAGAACAGAGATTTCACGGGATGTTTCTCATAATATCCTGCTCCCAAAGCCTGCCAAAATGACTCATTAAACCAACAAGTGCAGAGCACAAGCAACAAAAACGGAGAAAATAGCAAATCTGCTCTCCTATTTTTTTTAACATTTCTAAAAGTAACAAATGAGAAAGGCAATGTATGTACTCAAATTAAAACTGCCCAAATGATTCTGCTTTGGCTTATCTTGGATTGCTAAGAATTATGGACTCAAGCAAACAGGCACCAAAATGGCTGGTGTTTAAAAGACTAATGATGCTACGTGCTGGTGAGTCTGTGGAACCACTGGAAAGCTGGTGCATCACCGTGGGAGCGTGAACTGGAAAGCTGTCTGGCTGTATCTACTAAAACTAACCTGTGCCCCATCCCCTGACCCAGCAAAGGAAGTGAGTGTCCACGAAAAGATGTGTTGGAATGTTCGCTGCAGCCTTAATCCCAATAGGCAGACACTGGATGACTTTAGATCTCCCAACCCGGGGATTGAACCTGCATCTCTTACGTCTCTTGCACTGTCAGTCAGGCTCTTTACCACTAGCACCACCTGGGAAGCTGCTCTATGTACTTGACAGAGTGGCATCTCTGCCCCAGGAGCTCAGCCGTGAGCAAAGCAGAGAACGTTTCCGCCTCTTGGAACTTGTGTTCTAGAGGGAAAAGAGAAGGAGGAAGAGGGATGGGGCTTTAATTCTTTCTACGGTGGTCCAGGGTGACTTTAGGAGGCCTGAAGTCAACAGAGGCCTGGATACAGGGTGAGGGATTCCTACAAAGCGAGGCTGCCCAACAGTGAAACAGTGCAAGCGACACTCTCGTGGGACAATGTGGGCGAACCTTGCAGACGCCACAATAAGTGAATGAAGTATTTCAGCACAAAGCGTAGGTGCGGTCTGGTTCAATTGTATGAAGTTGAAGAACAGTCGATATTAATCTGTGATGGCAGAGACCAGAGCTGCAGGGACCCGGGCAGGGGTGGAGAGCGTTGGTGGTCAAGGGGGGTGAGGGACCTTCCGAGGTGCTGGAAATGCTCTTTATCTTGGAGTAAGTCATGGTGCCCAGGTATGAATGAATGTTTGATAGTTGCTCAGTCATGCCTGACTCTTTGCAACCCCATGGACTGTAGCCTGCCAGGCTCTTCTTTCATGGAATTCTCCAGGCAAGATTACTGGAGTGGGTTGCCATTTCCTTCTCCCCAGGTATACATACACGTAAAAAATTCATCGGCTTGAACACTCAAAAAGGGCTCATCATTGGTATGCTGCACCTCTACTAAAAATTTTTTTAAAAAGTCATTCTAGACTCAGGTAAGCACCTTGTCTTTGTTACTATTCCAGCGTTAAGACTCTTCCCACAGTTCAACGACCTGGAAGATGATGGGTGTGGACCACTCACCGTGTGGGATAAAGACCATGATGAAGCAGGCCAGCCCCGCCGCCAGGTTGGACATGGCCAGCGGGTAGCGGCGGCCGAAGCGGTCGATGGTGACAAGGATGATGAAGGACGCAGGGAACTCGACCAGGGCGGAATAGAGGAAGTCCAGGTAGAGGTTCCCGCCGGTGGCGCCCACGTGCATGATGAGGCCCTGGTAGACCACAGAGCTGGTGAACCTGGGCGGGCAGGAGAGGCAGGTCAAAGGTGAGCTCCTCAGAAGAGGGGAGATCCTAGAGACTGGCCAGGAGGATAAAGGCCCCGGCGAGCTGGAGGGAAGCATCCATCACTGGATGTAGAATGTTCTAGAGCAATATGAAAAGTGAGGTCCCTCCGTCACGTCCGACTCTTTGCGACCCCATGGACTGTATGTAGCCCACCAGGCTCCTCCGTCCATGGGATTTTCCAGACAAGAGTACTGGAGTGGGTTGCCATTTCCTTCTCCAGGGGGATCTTCCTGACGCAGGAGAATGAACCCGGGTCTCCCGCATTCCAGGCAGACAATTTACCATCTGAGAGAAGTCCTAATACGAGAAGAGAGGGGGTCAAAATCCAGGTGGGGCCCTCCTGGTTGAGAAGCTCCTTCCACAATTTTTGTGAGCCTGTGACTTACAGGACAGAGCCGTGTTTCCGAGAGACGGCAAAAGATGCAGCGACCATCATTTACGGCTTACTGTGCCCCCGCAGGCAGCCCTGCTCTGAACACCACGCAGGCCCTATCTCATCGGATGCCGCAAGCCTCCAAGGGGACGGAGGGCAGGGGATGGCAGTGGGGGGTGAGCAGTTTCAGGATTCAGACTGCTGTCTGAGCTGTGTGGTCTTAAGTAAGTGAATCAGCCTCTCTGTGCCTCAGTTCCTTCAGCTGTGAATCTGGGTTGTCTTGAGAGTTCATTGAGGTCGTGGACCAGAAGGGCTCAGCGTAGTTAGACACTCAGTGAAGAGCAGACTTTGTTGCTTTGTTGTCTTTCCCAGGGCAAGGGTCCAGAGCACCATGGGGTGGAGAAGTCGGCCAAGTCTTCCCTGCTCCAGAGTGGGGTCCCTGCACACAACACACCATCTGGAACCAGCAGTATTCCGTTCCTGTCTTTCATCCCATACCCCATGGCATACGACTCCTCCACCCATATTTGAGGAAAGAACAACCATGCTCACCCCACCAGGCTCATCTAAACTCACCAAGAAGGTGGCACACAGAAGGTTGGGGACCAGCTCAGTCACTCTGACCCAGGGGAAGATTGAGAGTCCCGGGGGCCACTTCTGGGCAAACTGCACAATTTTGGAACATTGAATGACTGTTGGTACAATCATTTCTCACTACCATGGGGGACTGGTTCCAGGACCCCCCAGGATACCAGAATCTGAGGATGCTCGAGTCCCTTGTGTCAATCGTATGAATCAGTGTAGGATGTGCACACTCCTGTAACACTGACACCATCACTAGATTGCTTATAACACCTAACATAATATAAATGTTGTGTAAGTAGTTGCCAGCATGCAGCAGATTCAAGGTTTGCTTTTCGGACTGTCCGGAAATTTTGAGTATTTTTTATCTACAGTTGATTGAATCCCGAGATGCAGAACCTCCAGATGTGAAGTATTGACTGTGGGAAGAGATTTTGGTGGATAAGAAATTACTTTCTTATTGAAATGCAAATTGCCCGTCAGTTCCAAAACTGAGATCACAGGGGACATTTCTCGTTACTACACCCTCTGGTTTTATAAAGTCCGGCTCTCCTGGCTCAGACAGTTAGGAATCTGCCTGCAATGCAGGAGTCCCCAGTTCGATCCCTGTGTTGCGAAAATCCCCTGGAGAAGGGAATGGCACCCAGTCCAGTATTCTTTCCTGGAAGAGCCCATGGACAGAAGAGCCTGGCAGGCTGTAGTCCATAGGGTAGCAAAGAGTCAGACACGACGGAGCGACTTTCACTCACTTCACTCACTCCCTCCCTGGTTTTATAAAGCTGCCCCCAGGAGTGCCTGGATGTTTTTATTTCTAGTCCTAAATTATTCCTGTTTGAACCAACGTGTGAAGAGAATAAGAAGGCACTAACTGCAACGTGGTGAGTTTAGATGCGCGTGGCGGGGCAAGACGGGCTTCTCTATGCCAGGTTAAATAGTTAAACGGGAACAGTCATCTTATACCCATAAAGCAGCTGACCCAAGAGAAAGGAATGTAGAACTCTGATTTTCCTGCACAAACAAATAAACAAAAACCCCAAATCACAACTAGATGCTGAAGAACAGGGAAGCCGGTTGCCATTTCCTTCTCACACTCCTATAAAAATAGCAATCTGTCGTTGTCGGGCACTTCCTAAGTTCTAAGCCTTTCACACGCATTATCACATGAATTCTTCCGACATACCCGTGAGTAGATCCTATCATTGCCTCCATTAGCTGATGAGGAAACTGAGTCACAGAGATCACGAAGCTTCCTGAAGGTCACAGGGCCAGGAAGTGACCCTGCCCCGAGTCGCTGTAATGAATGGAGCCGACGGGGGCGGGGGGCGTGTGCAGTAAGAGAAGGCGTCCAGGGCCAGATGGCATGAAGCCCTGCAGGCCGTGGAAGGAATCTCATTTTCTTCTCAGGGGATCAGGAAGACTGTGAGGATGTGGACAAGGAGGTGACGCGACCTTCACCTGCTTTATGAACAGTGTCTGGGGAGGGGGGGGACAGGAGTGGGAGCAGACCACCAGCAAGGAGGCTACCTCCATGGCCTAGACGGGAGGTTGCAACACTCACACCCAAGAGCACAGCTGGTGAGGAAACGGCAGATTCGGGATAGATTTTCAAGACAGAGTGGAATTTGCAGAAAGCTTGCATGGAGGGGTGCAAGAAAGCTGAGGAGACAGAATCACCGCCTCGACAGGAGTGCTTGGGGTGGAGACAGGACCCGGGCTGATACAGGAGGGGAGCAAGCCTTCCTGTCCGCGGGGTCCTGGGTCTCCAACCCAAGAGGCACCGCGGCGTCGGATGCTGAGAACCAACACGCGCCAGGCACCTGGCAAGCTTGCAGGGGTTCCTGGGTCCCTTGCGTGGCGGGTGCAGGGCTCCAGGGCCAGCCCGCAGACACGGGGCCTGGGGACCAGGCAAGAACCCGGCGTCTAGAGAACTTGGGACGGACTCTGTGGAACACTGGTTACTCATTCAAGCTTCCGCAAATATTTACGGAGCGGCTGCTACGTGCCAGGCGCTGCCTTCCTAGTCGGAACCCTTATTCCACAGGAGGGCAAAGAAGGGCAGGGAGGCAGAGTCACCCCAGTGCAAGGGGAGCCCGGGGTCCAGCTTCTCGGCCCAGGGGTTTCCGGGAGTAGCTGAAGGGCCGCCAGGGTTCAGAGGAGCAAGCGCTGAGGCCGGGAGCTGACCCAGCACCCCCTGAGGGAAGAGGGAGGAGACCCCCATCTCGAGGTAGCCACTGGGGAGGGTGATGCTGCCCCGGGGTATCTCAGGGGTGCTGGGCGTGGACAGGCGTTTCCTAATCGGTGTGAAAAAAGCACGCATGCGCTTTCCGCAGGCTCTGTCAAGGAAGGGTTCTTCCTCCTTGACGGCCCGGAAAATGAAGTCGCTCAGTCGTGTCCGACTCTTCGTGACCCCACGGACTATTGCCTACCAGGCTCCTCCATCCATGGGATTCTCCTGTCAAGAATACTGGAGTGGGTTGCCATTTCCATCTCCAGGGGATCTTCCTGACCCAGGGATCGAACTCGGGTCTCTCGCACTGTAGGCAGACATTTTACTGTCTGAGCCGCCAGGGGAATACTGACGTCCTGGGGGATCCCTGAAATCTCATCTACCTGCCGGGGCTGAGTCAGCATTGGCTCCTGACGCATGGGGTTTCTGACAACCCTGTCACCTCCCTCCGGCTTACTGCTGACTTTTCTACCTGGGGATTTCTTCTTACTAAAACGAGGCCTTTCCTCTACTGGGCAGTGCTCAAGGGAGAAATACGGGTGCCTTTTAAAGAGTTCTTTGAGCGGAAAGCCTGCTGGAAATGCCTTTTCATGCTTCTCTTTTTCCCCCCAGGTCGGCCCACCATCTCTGACGTGTACCCGGGCATGCAGGGAAGCACACGGGGCCTCGGAAAGACCGCTTACCACAAGTACATCAGGATGAAGGCGTACTTCCTCAGGTTGGGCGTGCGGAACAGGTCTACGAACGAGGGGCTCAGCTTCTCAGCGACGTCCTCCTCGAGAGACAGCATCTAGGAGAGAGTCAGGCAGTCAGCCACATCCAGGCTGCCCTCGTGAGCAGGAATCGCCATCAGAGCCCTTCCCCCACCCCGCACCCCACCCCGAGGTCGGTCATCACACTCATCAGCCCGAAGAGCTCCAGCGCCCTCCCGCTTCCCCAGGCAAGTCCCACAGGCAAGCGCTCAGTCATAAACCCGACCCAGCGTTCAGAGAGGGGACAAAGCCCTTGCGAGTGAGTCACCTTCAGGTTGGCAGGAGGCAGCTTCCCGTTCTTCTGAGCAATGTGGCCCATGATCTTTATCGCCTGAGTGTTTCTCTTTTGCGATAACAGCCATCGGGGGGACTCGGGCACAAACCTGCAGACGCAGATCACCCCTACTCGGCGTCTCCCCCAGAGCCCGTCTGAGGTTAAGATTGAAAGAGAACCTCGCTGGAGCTGACTCAAATGCGTTCTTTTTTATAGCTGAGAAATAGTGCCTTGTGTATATGAACCACAGCTTCCTCATACGTTCGTCTGCCGATGGGCATCTAGGTTGCTTCCATGTCCTAGCTACCGTAAACTGTGCTGCAACAAACACTGGGGTACATGTGTCTCTCTCAATTCTGGTTTCCTCGGGGTGTATGCCCCCAAACCACCACGGTGTTGTAAAGTAATTAGACTCCGACTAAAATAAGTGAAAAAATAAAAGAGACTCTCCCTTCTGGTGTAGCCTTCATCCAGTGCGACGGAGGTCCCATTCTCCCCCAGAATCCAGCCGCCCTTCTGGCCCCTGGAAGATTCCTCACACCACAGAGGCTGCACGCGCCCACCCCATGCAATACCGCAGACGCCTCTGCATAAGACAGGGGCTGTTGAACAAGCCTCAGAGTGTGTCCAAAACAAACTAAACTACACTCGCTTGCCTTCAACACGAGGCAGAGTCCATGGTGTCTATTTCAGATGGGACCGCCTGCCAGTTGTGTCAGTCCTGTCTGACTCTGTGCGACCCCAGGGACTGTAGCCCGCCAGGCTCCTCCATCCATGGGATTCTCCAGGCAAGAACACTGGAGTGCGTTGCCATGCCCTCCTCCAGCGGATCTTCCCGACCCAGGAATCGAACCCACATCTCCTGCATTGCAGGCAGAGTCTTTACCATCTGAGCCACCAGGGCAGCCCCCTCAGAGGAGACTAAGATGTTTTAAACTCAAAGACTGGGAATCTCTGGAAGAAGGTCACCTGAAAACACACAGGGAGAGTCTCACCAGCCAGCGGGACTCAGCCGGGGGTGGGGGGAGAGTCCCGGCACTGGAAGGCCCCTCGCTCCATGCTGACGGGGAGAGAGCAGGCTTTTCTTGAGCCTGAGTGTACTGAGAAGCTGGCTCTGGTTCTGAGAGGTTGGGGTGGACTCGGGGCCTCCCACAGGTAAGATGCGCCCTCAGCTAAATAGCAACAGAAGCTGCGTGGATGAGACAGTTCGCTCCATGAACCTCTCTGCTGCCCACCCTTCCCTCTCCCACAATGAAATCTCATCTGTCTGGTTGCTTACCCCTCCAGACCCTGCCAAGGGCTGACAGCTACTAAGATGAACAACCCACTTGAGCTGGCTTTGTTCCTGTCTGATGGGCACACTCCGCAGAGATGGTTCCATTCCTTCATCTACTCCTTCACTGGCCCATCAAAGAGCAAATGCGTACTTTGTGGCTAGGTGGACTTTTGTCTGACTTTTAGCATCTCAGGCCTCTCTCTGGGTGATGTGAATTTAAAGAAACTCTGTAAGTAAATTTCTTTAAAGAGTGGCTGAGAGTGGCTCCCCCCGGAAACAAGGGCTACCCCGTGATGGAGCACCCCAGATGGCGTGGGTGGCTGGAAGCCCGGGGCCTGCAGGTAGGGCCGCCCTGGCTGTTGGGAAGATGGGTCCCCACGGGGACACGGTACCAGTAGCAGAAGACGAGCAGGAAGACGGGCAGGGAGACGGCCAGCTGCAGCCAGCGCCAGTGCGGGAGGACGTAGGCCAGTCCGGAGAGCAGCACGAGACCCACGGTGAAGGCCATCTGGAAGAGGATCGCCACCGTCCGTCTGTAGCCCAGACCCACGAACTCTGTGACTGAAACCGGGGAGACGTCACCCATGGGCTCCCATCCGCTTTAAAACCCCCCATTTGCTGCCTGCAGCTCCCCCCACCCTTTGCACACTGCAGTATTCTGTCTACGGGGCTCTCCTGCCCAGAACCTTCTTGCCGTCAGCTGCAGGCTGACCTGGAGTATTTCCCACGACCCGCCAGGGAGCGCTCGTTAACGCCACCAGCAGCTTTGAGGGCACCCCAGGGACCTGGTCCTGTCACAGGTGTTCGGACACATCTCCAGGTCTGTGGGCACAGCCCCGCCCTCCTGACTTCACAGCGAGGTGGTGGACCAGACACACGCTCTGAGTTTGTCACACCCAGGTCTTGACATGATGCGGGCCGTGTGGGAAGAAAGCGTAAATGGCCAGGAGGATGGGGGGGAGTCTCTGGGGGTCGCAGATTTTCAGAGCGCAGTGGAGCAGAGCTCATGGAGAAAATGTGAGCCATCAGGAGGGGCGGTGGTTAACTGAACCCGGAATGGGAAAGCGAGTTCCAGGCAGGAACTCAGGTGACCGCTGGGTGAGGTCGGGTCATGGGGGCCGTGCGTCCTCCTGGGGGGGTCTCTTAGGCTTGCGGAGAACACTGGCTTCAAGTGCGGGAGGCACAGAGGCGCCTCGGCACAGGATGACCCGACGTTAGGTCTGCTAAAGGCCCCCCTGCACCGCACTGCTGCCTGTGGATGCCCCGGGGGTGGACCAGTGTGGAGCGGAGCAATGGTGGTGGTGGGATTCGGCAGGAGCAGCAGATCAGTGAGAGGGCTTCGGTGCCGGAGGTGTTCTGAGAGGAAAGCAGAGGGGGGGCTGGGGAGAGGGACACTGGAGGAACGGGCGTGGGGGTGGGGAGGAAGACGTCCTGGGCTGGGAAGAGAGGAGGAGTCAGTCAAGCAGACTGAAGGGGAGCCCCTGGTGCAGGACCAGGGAGTATGGGACCTCCAAGTGAGGCAGGGGAGCCATGGGAAGGATGCAAGCCAGGGTATCACGTAGCGTTCCCAGTCTGTCTTCCTGTCCCTCTAGCCTGGGAGCTCCTTGAAGGAGGTTGTTGTTCAGTTGCTAAGCTGTTTCTGACTCTTTGCACTGGCTTGTATGGACTTTGCATGGACTGAAGCCCACCAGGCTCTTCTGTCCTCCACTCTCTCCAGAGTTTGCCCAAATTCATGGCCATTGAGTCAGTGATGCCATCCAACCATCTCATCCTCTATTGTCCCCTTCTCCTCCTGCCTTCAATCTTTCTCAGCATCAGGATCTTTGCCAATGAATCAGCTCTTTGCATCAGGTGGCCAAAGTATTGGAGCTTCAGCTTCAGCAACAGGCCTTCCAATTAATATTCAGGGTTGATTTCATTCGGGATTGACTGGTGTCTTGAGAGTAGGACCGAAGGCCTTGTCTATTTTGGCATCTCTGGCCCTGCCTCCGTGCCTGCCACAGGGCAACAGACACACCGCAGGGAGGAGAAGGGGTGGGCATGGCTCTGGGCTACCCCCGGGGCCCTTCAGTGACCTCAGGGCACTGTGGTCCCCACATGGAGGATCCTGAGGCAGAGAGAGATTATGGAACCTACCCAGGATCACACAGCTGGTCAGAGTTGAGCGCAGATTTGACCTTAAATTAATCCTTGTCTCCTTGTGCCAAATACTGCATGTTCAGCCCCTAGATGGCTGGGCTGTTTCAGCTAATATATGCTGAACTCACTAAACTTAACTAGTGTGTTCACGAGTTCTTGGGGAAGGAACATGGTTTTTCTTGGCCCTAGTGAACTATTTCTTAGAATGTCAAACCATAAGACATTGTTTTCAAAGATGGCAAGACCTGGCAAAAACCTGGACCATCCTCACTGCTGTCTGATACACCCACCCATCCCTCCATGGGCTGAGGGATACACAGCTATTATGCTACTTTCTTCTACAGAAGTATTTTTCATTTTCTGTTCTTACTTTTCATAGAAAACTTGAAAGAAAAAATAGTATATAGAATTATCTTGATTTACACTTCATTTTTTTCATCACTGTGTTTATCGAGTTGCCAGGTCATATCCGACTCTTTGTGACCCCATGGACAGCAGCACGCAAGGCTTCCCTGTCTCCTGCCATCACCCCGAGTTTGCCCAGCTTCATGCCCATTGTGTGGGTGATGCTGTGTAACCATCTCTGCTGTCTTCTCTTCCTCAGCATCACAGTCTTTTCCAATGAGTCAGCCAAAGTATAAGAGCTTCTTTCATTTCCTCTTATATCGTCTCCCCTAACTCTTGAGTGTCCTTCAAACCAGCAGAGTTTGTTGTATTTCTTTTGGAAGAGGCTGGTTCATTCATATTTGAAATGTTGTAATACTGTCCCACCTATCTCCCCTTCCTACATAACCCCCATCATTGTAAACACATCACATGTGATCTTTTCCCAAACAGATTAGTTGATATGGAAACAAGGAGCCATCATAAGTGGTTATATAAGTGTCTCTCAAACAAAGAGAGACAGAGAGAGGCCATTCTGACCTCATACCCAGCTCCAATCACGCAGACACAAATACAGCTAGCGAGGCCACACTTTGTCTAGACTTCCTCCCAAAAAAGCCCGCCTCCACGCTCAGCTTCGTCCCATTCCACCCCACTCCCGGACCTCCCGGGCTTCTCAAAGTGCCTGGAGACCTCGGGCCAGCAGATGCTTACTCAGGGTGTAGCCAGCCGTCCAGTTGCCCTTGCTGACCAGCCCCTGCAGCAGGCGGAAGAGCAGCAGGGACGTGTAGTCTGGAGCCACGGCCGTCAGGACGCCCAAGACGGCGCTGGTGAGGGTGGAGGTGAAGAGGCACACTTTGCGGCCAAACCTTCGGAGGAGAGAGACAGCGAGGTGAGAGCTGAGTGTTCCCAGGGGCGAAGGGACAGCAAGCAGGCCCTCTGCTGGGAGACGAGACCGTTTCTCTGCAGCATCGTGCAGTCCATCATGCATCGCGGCCCCTTCTCCAAGCCTGACCTGGTCCCCCCTCAGTGACAGCGACCCGCAACTCTTGCAGGATTAACAAAGTCACTCTGAAGAGGAATCCTGACCAGTCTCACTCAAGGACCAGGGGCCTCCCTCCGTGACCCTCCCAGTTCTCAGACTCATCTCCTCTCGTTATCTTTGTACTTAACAGATTGCGTTACTATTCACAGACTTAACAGGGTGCACCAGAAATCAGGTCACCACCAACCCACATAGTTAACCTTATCAATGATCATAAGGTTTTTCTGGGGAAATATTCAATTCTAATAGAATAACTAGTGAAAAGTGTTTTTCCTTTCTTTTTTCATGAGTGAAGTGGGCCAACAAACACATGAAGGGATGTTCAACATCGCTAGTCATCAGGGAAATGCAAATCAAAGCTACACGGGAAGTTGCTATAACACGGGGAGCTCAACCCGGCACTCTGTGACAACCTAGAGACCTGGGATGGGGAGGGTGGAGGGGAGTTTCAAGGGTGGGTGGGGGGGACATGTGTATGCTAACGGTTCATTCACTGGTTCATGGCAGAAGCCAGCACAATATCCTAAAGCAATTATCCTCCAATGAAAAACAATTTGTTTAAAAAAACCATTAAAAAAACCTACAGTGAGATACCACCTCACGCTTATCAGAATGGCCATTATCAGAAAAACAATAAACAACAAGTGTTGGCAAGGATGTGGAAAAAAGGGCGCTTAGTACACTGTGGACGGGAACATAAACTGATGCAGCCATCACGGAAAACAGAAGAAACAGGACGAAGTTTCTTTAAAAAATTAAAAACAGAACCACCATAAATCCAGCAATTTCACGTCTGAATATTTCTCCAAAGGAAACAAAAACACTAATTCTAAAAGGTATCTGCACCCCTGTGTTTATTGCAGTATTAGCTAAATTGCCAATATATGAAAGCAATATATGGAGCTCCAATATAAGTAATATATGGAATATATTCCAATATAAGCAATATATGGAAGGACTGGTGCTGAAGCTGAAACTCCAATACTTTGGCCACCTGATGCAAAGAACTGACTCATTTGAAGAGACCCTGATGCTGGGAAAGATTAAAGGCAGGAGGAGAAGGGGACAACAGAGGATGAGATGGTTGGATGGCACCAGCAACTCAATGGACATGAGTTTGAGTAAGCTCTGGGAGTCGGTGATGGACAGGGAGGCCTGGTGTGCTGCAGTCCATGGGGTCACAAAGAGTTGGACATGACTGAGCAACTGAACTGAACTGATATGGAAGCAACCTAAGTGTCCATCAATAGTTGAATGAATAAAGATGTAGATATAATATTATATATATGTATGTATTCAATGCAGTCGTACTCAGCCATAAAAAAGAATGTATTTATGACAGTACAGACAGACATAGAGGGTAAAGCGCTAAGTGAAAGCAGTCAGAAAAATGAATACCCTGTGACCTTACTCATATGCAAGATTTAAGAAACAAAACAAATATAGCTTCTAAATGACAGTTATCTACTACTGCAAATAGATACATAAATAGATAAATACTAAAAATATTAGTGACAGAACCATTCACTCTACCTTCTTCCCACATGCAAAGATGATTAACATGCTTTAGGGAAATACTGCAGGGGGAAAGAAAAGAACTGTCCACACACAAAAATCCACATCCTCATCTCTCATCTTTAACTTTGCACTGACACTGTCCTTGCTCACCAACTTCTACATGTTGAACTTCTCTCTGCATACCCTCTTCTAGCTTATCTCAAATCTGGTTTATCACTTTAAATACCAATTACTGGTGGCAAATCCCAAATATTGTACTCCAGCCCGAACCTCATGTATCCAACTGTCTACTTGGCAACTCCTCTTTGTTTCACAGGCTGCTCTGAACACATCTCCACCAAGCTGCAGAAGAGGAAATTCTTAACCCTGTCTGTCTCAAAAAATAGCCCTGCCCCCCTCCACCCTTCTGCCAGAAGCATAACCCTTGGCTTTGTCCCCGCTTCCTCTGAGCCCCGCATCCCAGCTACACAACCTGCCTGTGGTTTCATCCTCTGAAATCCCCCCTAAACCCCCAGCTTCCTCCATCCTCCTGCCCCACGTCGTCCAAGGCACTCACTGCCACGTCGGGTCTCAACTTCTGCGAAGGTTCCCTCTGGACGCTTCTCCCACCACCGGCCACTGAAGTCCCTTCTCCCCACGGAGCTGACACTGTGTGTGTTCGGATCCACCTTTACGTACCTGTCTGCTATGTAGCCGACGCCCAGAGAGCCCAGGAAGAAGCCCAGGTTCACACAGGACTGAAAGAGGTCCACCTTCCAGGAGTCATCACACACCAAGTCAAACTGCGGGTCGGAGGGGCCAAAACACACAAGACCGTTTGTAAGTTAAACTATGCCTACCATTTTCCCTGCAGAAAATGTCAACACACAACAGAAAAATGTGGGATCCTGGGGTCCCTCACATCCTTTCCTTTCACCACATTTTCATAAGACAAATGCAAGGTTTCTGGGGAATCTCGGGCAGTGTCATTAAATGCCTAATATCTTTATCTTGGGTTTACCCTCAATACACACTAACTAAAGAGGCTGTTGTCAGGAGCCTCTGATAGTTGTCAAAGGACAGGGTGGCCAAAAGGTAAGGTTTCTAAAGGAAATACGGCACAGTAATTATCCAAAAACGAAAATGAAGTAAAATAAATACGACGTGTTTCCCAGAATGGATAAAAGCCCTTAATTAAGAAAGCTGAGCGCCAAAGAATTGATGCTTTGAACTGTGGTGTTGGAGAAGACTCTTGAGAGTTCCCTAGACTGCAAGGAGATCTAACCAGTCCATCCTAAAGGAAATCAGTCCTGAATATTGCTGGGAAGGACTGATGCTGAAGCTGAGACTCCAATACTTTGGCCACCTGATGCGAAGAACTGACTCATTGGGAAAGACCTTGAGGCTGGGAAAGACTGAAGGCAGGAGGAGAAGGGGACGACAGAGGATAAGATGGTTGGATGGTATCACCGACTCGATGGACATGAGTTTGAGTAGGCTCTAGGAGTTGCTGACAGACAGGGAAGCCTGGCGTGTTGCAGTCCATGGAGTCGCCAAGAGCTGAACATGACTGAGTGACTGAACTGAACTGAATCACATGTTTTATTCCATTTTCTACCCAATAACTGTGTGAATTTGTCATGACTGATGGAGCTGTAAGTATCAACATGAGAATTTCTGAGCAAAGACACAGAGGGCAGCTGGTGGGGGCTTCTGGGGAGCAGCCTTGTGCAGCCCTGCATGTGGGGGATGGGGGAACCCAGAGACGGCAGGAGATGTGGAGGGTTCCATGTGCCTGGGAGGAGTTAAGGCAGAAGGACAGAGGCAAAGACAGGAGCCGATCTGCCTGGGCGTTGTTGGGAGTGAGGTTCAGGGCTTGCCCCTCCGTGCCTGGCCCATGCATGGTGATACCAACATGCCTGGGCGCTCTGGGAGGCCCGGGTGCAGGAGCATCCCCACTTGGAGCCCAGAGGGGCAGAAAGCAGGGAGGCACCCAGGGATGAGACAGAAGCTGAGAGGTGATAGCTGGGGCCCTCACCTCCCCATTTAGCCCAGCATCGGTCAGGACTCATGACTGCCCCACCAGGCAGAAGGATGTGACCACAAGGATGTCACTTAGCAACTCTGGGCCTCGGTCTCCTGTCTGGAAGGTGTGTGTGGAGCCGGTCCTGTCACCATCACGGGGCGGCTGCAGGAGCTGCAGGGAGACACCATGTGCCCCTGGTTTGGTAAATAACGAACCATTTAACTTTTTAAATGGAGGCTTTACTTTTTGTTGTTCAGTCACTCAGTCATGTCCGACTCTGTGACCCCAGGGACTGCAGCACGCCAGGCTTCCCTGTCTTTTACTATCTCCTGGGGCTTGCTCAAACCCATGTCCATTGAGTCGGTGATGCCATCCAAATTCACCCTCTGTCGCCCCCTTCTCCTCCTGCCTTGAATCTTTCCCAACATCAGGTTCTTTTCCAATGAGTCAGTTCATCGCATCAGGTGGCCAAAGTACTGGAGTTTCAGCTTCAACATCAGTCCTTCCAATGAACACCCAGGACTGATCTCCTTTAGGATGGACTGGTTGGATCTCCTTGCAGTCCAAGGGACTCTCAAGAGTCTTCTCCAACACCACAGTTCAAAAACTGTGTTCAAATTCTTTGGCGCTTGGCTTTAAGATGGTCCAACTCTCACTTCAGGTGTTTATTCCCTTGAAAATTCAGCTGAAAGCACACCGCCCCGGGGAGTTTCTCCTGCCACTGTTTGGTTTCTCTGTGGCCCTGGGCCCCTGTCAGCAGAACTTGGGGGAGGCTGCTCCTGGGAGTTGTTATCTCGCTGGCCCAGGTCAGCCTCTCCAGCGGCCTCTCTGGAGCTCCCACCCACGTCACCCAGGATGATGTTCTGGGCGTACTAGATGCCCCCAAAGCCACAGGGCAATGGTTTGGGGACGTTTGTTCTACTCTTTGCAATCAGCATCTTTGTAAGATGTCTCCGTCACCCTCCCTGAAATGCCCTGCGTGCCATCCTGCTCTGGGGGCATGCAGAAGCCAGGGAGCTCATGGAACTGGAAGAAGGGGCGCCTGTCCTTCCCTACTGATGCCACCTCCCCTAAGAACTCTGCCCCCAGCTACGCCAAGGGGCTCTGTCTGTAGGCACCTGCTCCCTGTGATCCCAGACCCAGCCACTGCCCCCGGGGCCCCTCTGTGCCCCCAGGAAGACAAGGCTGGCCCTTTAGGGAAGGCCAGGCTCTGCACAGGGGGCGCACGGGATGGGGTGGGGTCTCCTAGGCCGGGTCCCTCCCCCTGCTGGGACTTCACTGGGCATTTCTCTGGGGCCAGGCCTTATGGTGGACACGGCCCGTAGAGCAGCAAGCTGGCCACGCTCACGGGACAGAGTCTCCCAGCGTTCTCGTTAGAATCCAGGTTCCCCTGGGTTCTGTCTCAGCAGATCACGGATCGGAATCCAGGTGATCCCAGGGATCAGGTGAGTTGGGAAAACAGCACCCTCCTGCCCCAAATGGACCCTGACCTCTGTCCTCAGGGTGGGGAGGGACGGGGAGCTGGGTGTTCAAAGAGGTCCGCACATCGTCTTCCCTCCAGCCAATTCCAACGTCCAAGGCAAGGCCTTGTTAAAGATTATTTCTGCAGAAATTAATAACTAGGGAGGATTCTGCCCCAAATAAGCTTCAGCTTAGACTGAGAGGAGGAGGCAAAAGTGGTTTTGAAGCAGTGGGAAGGGTGAGTCAGAGGAGGCGCATTCCATCCAGGAGAAGCGGTCCTCTACTCCTGAGGGCCCGCGTCTCATCGCCTCCATCACCTCCAGCTGGATCCCACCCCCAACACACTAGTGTGTCCCCAGGTGAGCCCTACCCCACAACCCTTCCCCTGTCTCCCCCAGTCCTCCCCAGAGTACCTGGGTCCCCGAGTACCTGGAAGCCCACTCCCTGTTACCACCGTTGGCCAGTCAGGGCTGTGTCCCCTCCCCAGGACCCCCACCCAGGCCAGGTTCCCCCACAGGCATGAGCTGCTGCTGCTGTGTGTTCCCGCCTCACTGTTCAGGGTCTCAGCCCCCCGGCCTCCCCAGCCAGGACCCTCCGGCAAATCGGGGGCCTCCTCCTCCCCACCCACTTCCAGGTCTGTGTCTCTTTAAATCGATCCTTCTTTCTGATCCTGTGACAGCCACATGGGTCCACAGCCCTGCTGGGGCCCATGACAGCCTCCTCAAGCTCTCCCCACCTCTGGGGAGCCTCCCCTCCACTCCCCACCAGTGCCTGGACCATTTACAAGGTCCAGCGAGTCTTCTTCCCCTGCCTGAACTGCCACTTGGCACAAAGGTAGGGTTGCCAGTTTTAGAGAAAAAAAAAAATACGGGGTGCCCCTCTGAACTGGAATTTTAGATAAACAACACTTTTTTTTTTTTTAGTGCAATCATGTCCTCAGCAGTATCTGAATTCCCAGCCTCAGCTGTCAGTATCAAATGTTGTGCAATATCTGGGACCTAATTATCCTAAACAAATATTCATTGTTTACCCACAATTCAAATTTAATGGGCGTCCAGCATTTTATCTGGTGACCTGATGTAAGATCTCAGCGCTCTGGCCCAAAGCTGAACCACCCAGCTCAGCTGGGTGGTCATTCTGTCATTCTGTCCACGACCCCTCCACTGGATTCCAGTCAATTCAACAACTCATTGCTCCCTGAACGTGATCCCTGCCCCCTCTCTGCAGAGCTTCGGTTCACATTCCCCAACGCACCCTGTTTCCTCTCCTAGCAGCTCAAAATACCACCCTGGGTCCCACTCAATACTTCATCCTAAGGACCTACTGTATATCACAGGGAATCATACTCGATATTTTGTAATAACCTAGAAGGGAAAAGAATCGGAAAAAAAAATAGATACCTATGTATATATAACTGAGTCAAGGAAGTCACACGGTAACCCACTCCAGGATTCTTGTCTGGAGAATCCCACGGACAGAGAGGAGCCTGGTGGGCTACAGTCCATGGGGTCGCAAAAAGTCAGACACGACTGAAGCTATTTAGCCTGGGATGGCATAACTGCATCACCTTGCCTGAAACTAACACAAGACTGTAAATCAACCATACTCCAATTTAGAAAGTCTGCCACCTCCCGCTGGAAGACCCCAGTGGCCGGCTGAATAGCAAGGTCCCCCTCCTTGTCTGGGACACTGATCTTATTCTCACGACCACCACCCCTCCCTTGCTCCCTGGAGACTGCAAACGCCTTGAACCTCACAGGCTGCTTCCGTGTCCCTCCTGGCATCACATCCAGTGCCAGAACAGAGGAAAAGCTCAGAACACAGTTACTGAGGGGACAGACGAAGGGCTGAATGGATAAATTCTTGCATCCAGCTGATCCTGTCCAAGCAGAGTGTGCCTCAGCCACAGAGAACAATACATTCCCGTCCAGGTCTGCTTCTAGATTCCCAGCGAGAAGAGTGGCCAGTTCAGCACCCTTGGGAGATGAGTCCTCTAACTGGACGTCAGGTTGGAGGACGCCTCAGAGACCAGATGTTTGCGCAAGGGCACCCACACCTGCCCCCCCAAGACAGCGGGCTGTGGGGCCAGAGGAGAGGACACGGCTTTTCTCCAGCTAGACATGTGGGGCTCAGGGCATCAGTTCCCTTGTTTCAGGCGATCAGTTTGCTAACAAACACGCTCTGCACAGTTCCAATCTGTGGCTTCACCAAAAGGCTTCCGTGGAGGCTCAGATGGTAAAGAATTTGCCTGCGATGCATGAGACCCAGGTTGGTTCCCTGGGTAGGGAAGATCCCCTGGAGAAGCGAGTGGCTACCACTCCAGTATTCTGGCCTGGAGAATTCCATGGACAGAGGAGCCTCTCAGGCTATAGTTCATGGGGTTGCAAAGAATCGGACACCACTGAGCGACTAATGTGTCTAAACTTCTCCTGTGACTTCGCCAAGTGACCTTGAGGTCAGTTTCCAAGTGCCCATGCTTGTCACAGTGTAGCACTTTCCAAAGGGTTCATGAAGGAAAAAACTCTGCTGGCTTTTCAGTGAGATATTCTCAAAGCAAAGGCTCAGATAACCCCCTAACCTATCCAGGCAAGCACTCTGCCTCCATCCTGCTCTCCTGCGGGTCATGGAGGGGACACCCAGTGCAGCTGGGTGCTGGACACCCAGGGGTGCTGAACCGGCCACTCTTCTGACTTGTCTGATCGGCACCTCTGTGGTCCTTGGCCGACCCCCGGGAAGTAGGTCATTGTCATCGTTGGCTTACTGATGAGGAAACTGAGGCTCAGAGACGCTGAGTAACGTACACAGAGACACTCAGCCAATTCGGGGCATGGCTGGGACTCAGTTGGACTCCAGGGCAGCTTCCACACCACCTCAAAGACCAGCGTTGAGCTGTCACAGGTCCACAGCTCGTGAATGGAGGGAGGGGGGCTCGCAACTCTGCTGGTGGGGCCGCTGGCCCCCAAGTGGATTCTGCAGGCCCGTGGAGAAGCCAGTGGGGCAGAAAGATAAGGAAGCCAGTCTCCCCGGGGGTTCCCCGTCCAGCAGTCCAGCTTGGCCTGGCAGGCGACAGTCTCTCTGAGCCCCAGTTCCCTCCTCTAATTCCCAGAGGGTGGGGAGGATTGAACAAGGGAGGAACGATAGTGCCTGCGACGGAATCTGATACACCGTGGTTCAGAGAGCACCACCCTGCTCCCTCTTTGCTGATGTGGGGTCGAAACCTGTAGGATTCGTCATGTTTCCTCTCTGCCCTGAAACCCGCATCATGATCCCCCCGGCGAAGGCCCGCTCTTACCTCGGTCACGATGGAGGAGCCGGGCGTGTCGTACACCCAGCCCTGATCGCAGGGGCCCAGGGGCAGGGGGCTGCCGTTGGCGGCCAGGACGGCCAGCGGGTCCAGGCAGCCGAGGGCGCTCTGGTTCCAGTCCACCGCGTAGCGGAGGCACTGGCCCTCGGGCCCCGGGCCCGGCACCGTGTAGTTGAGCTCCTCCGCCAGGCTCCAGCCGCATCGCCGGCTCAGCTCCGCCACCCCGGGGCTCCGGCAGCGGTGGTCCGGGGTGAAGGCCAGAAAGACGATGCCCACGTAGATGGGGGCGAAAGCAGCCGAGAACAGGCACAGGATCAGGAAGGCTTGCTTTTGGAACCAGCCGAACTCCCCGACCTGCTCCAGAACATCGTCCACGGTGAGCATGACTGAGCCTCCACGCACATCGCTCTGAGCAGACCACGGCGGCCGCAGAGCCCGGGGTCAGGGTCTTATGTGGGTTTCTCTGCGATGGGCTGGTCTGAAGTCTAATTGCTGCCTAAGCATCTTGGCTTCTACCCCTGGAAGCCAACCAGCTGGAACCAATCTTTCACCCGCAGGGCAGGTTTTGGGAAGGGATAGGAGGAGGATGATTGGTCAGACTGCTGGGCTGGGGGAAGTCACCCAGGTTGAGGGCCTGTTTCTTTGGCACTGGGGCTCCCAGAGCCAAAGGAGAGAGCAAAGGTGGCCGCGAAGCTCCCAGCGGTCTCTTTCAGGCTCTTCCAAAAGGATCCTCCACTTGAAAGCTTTTTTATCATCTAGATAAACAAGGACAGGACACTGGCTGCCAGACTATCGGACCTGCTTCTCATGATGGGGCATCTCAAGCAGTGTGCAGCGAGGGTCTGGCTGTGGGCAACGGGAGAGCCAAGCTCCCCAAACTGACTCACTGCCCTACATCCTTGTCCCAGTGTAGAATGACCGCCTTCTTCGGGACCCACAGAGGACTTCTCCTGGCATCACTATGTCTCCAGGCTCCTGGCTGCTGGCCCATGACACACCCACCCTGAATCCCCAGGAAAGTGGGACACAGGGGCCCTCTGGGCACTGACCCTGATGGGTTCCCTGGGCAGAGATGCTGGTAGAAAAGATCAAAGGGTCGCAGGCAGAGAACACCTCCCCCTCCCCCACTTCAACCCGGGAGGACACAGAATATTAAGCCTGGGTTCCCCCTCCATGCACGCAAGAGGGACAAATAACAGATGAACGGGTGCCTGGGTTCCCTCTGGTTTCCGGGACCCTCATCTCTCTGCTCCGTGGACACGGGGAGCTAGCCCCAAGCCCAGCGGTGCACCAGCTGCTCTGGTGAGACAGGAGGAGCTCTGCCAACCACTTCCCTACGTGGGCTGAGCACCAACTGGGGGTGTGGTGGGAGGGGAGAGGGCGGAGAGGGGGGCAAACCTCCCCAAGGCATCAGCTTGCCCAGGCCAGGCGCTGCCCTTCCTGCCCGAGTGAGATAATGGAAACTGTGTCTTCATCGCCCCTCCCTGTTCTTGGCACAGGGCCCCTGAAACCCTTGACACTTTCTAGGAGTGTCTTCTGTTCAAAGAGGTGACTCTGGGTGGGCTTGTGGGTGGCTCCTGGCCATGGGTAAGACCAAGCTATGATTGTGTGCTAGGGGCTTCCCAGGTGGTGATAGTGGTAAAGAACCTGCCTGCCAATGCAGGAGACACAGGAGATGCAGGTTCGATTCCTGGGCGGGGAAGATTCCCCTGGAGAAGGAAATGGCAACCCACTCCAGTGTTCTTGCCTGGAGAATCCCATGGACAGAGGAGCCTGGCGGGCCACAGTCCTTGGGATCGCAAAGAGACTCTGGGAGGGCGCCTGCCTGCAGGTAAGACCGAGCTGTGATTAGAGACTTGGAACTTTCAGCCCTATCTCCCCATTCTCTTGAGCAAAAAGGCCTGAAATGGTCAGTCATGGGTCATGTCCATGGGGTAAAGCCTGCATAAGAGCCCCACTACCCAGGGTTCAGAGCAGTCACATCCACACCCCAGGTCCATGGGGACAGCAGCTCCTCCACCCACCCCCCTCGTCCCCCTCCCCCCACCCTGTGTATCTCCTCTCCCGGCTCCTCTGATGCTTCACCATATTCTCTAATAATCTGGTGGACAAGTCAACATTTCCCTGACTTCTGTGAGCCGCTCTAGCAAATCAGGAGCTTCCCCCATGGCTCAGTCGGCCCGAATCCACCTGCAGTGCAGGAGACCCGGGTTCGATCCCTGGGTCAGGAAGATCCCCTGGAGAAGGAAACGGCAACCCACTCCAGTATTCCTGCCTGGAGAATCCCATGGACAGAGGAGCCTGGAGGGCTACAATCCATGGGGTTGCAGACAGTTGGACACAAATCGCAGCTAACACTTTCTAGCAAATCAGTTGACTCCAAAGAGGGAAGAGGTCAGAGGACCCTGATCTGTAGCTGAGTCGGGCAGAATTGTGGGTCACCTGGGGCCCTAATAGTGACTGGCATCCGAGGGGGGACGGTCTTGTGGGACCGAGCTCTTAACCGGTGGGGTCTGAGACTCTCTCCAGGCTGATGATGTTAGAAGTGGGTTAAACTGTGGGACACCTGGCTGGCATCGCAGGCAAGTGCCTGGTGTGGGCAAAACCCCCGTATTCAGTGACCCTAAGTGAAGTGTCCTGGGAGAGTAGTGAGGAGGACTCACGGGAGAAAGGAGACCGGGGTTTTCCTACACACGAGGAGCTCACTGCATTTCTCGGCCACAAGTGGCCCTGAATGCTCAGGCTCCCTGGCCTCGAGTCCTCCAGATGGTTTCACTGTTCTGAAAGCTTGTCTGAGAGATCCTGGCTTAGCCCGCAGCTACCCACCACCCTGTCCCACTAAGTAACCCACCCACCCACACCCTCCCTGCCAACTAGAGCGCCTGCGGTCTGCCAGGCTCCACTCTTGGCAGGGAGAACAGAGCCGTGAACAGAGGAACCAGTGTCTCAGGGTAGAGATGTGAGCTCCGCGAGGGAAGTGTGGAGACGGTGTCTTCGCAGGTGGGGAGCACGACCGAGGTCTCAGGCAGGAAGGGGTGGGGGGCTGCAGCCTTGAGAACCAGCGGTCAGAGCTGGCCTCTGGGACACTGAGCCTCGAGGGAGGCCGGAGGCCAAGCCCTGGGGGGTAGGAACTGGAGGACGAACGTTCCAGAGAGAGGAAAAAGCTGAGGCCGCGCAGGCTGAGCGAGGAGGCCCGTAGGGCAGCCTCAGAGCCAAGACAAGGGCAGGACTGAGGCCAGAGGGGCCTCGGGCCCAGACAAAGGGCCCCGTGGGGCCGGGGCTTCACCTGGGGGCGAGGGCAGCCCCCCGAGGCCGTCTGAGCCAAGCACGGGGAAGCTGCCACTGCCCAGCTGGGCCCTGGGGGCTGGACGGGGCGGCACCAGCAAGGCTGGAGAGAAACGCACTCAGGGCCTGATTGCAGGTGGAGGTGGGAGGATGTGCTGATGGTCTGGATGTGGGGTGTGAGGGCCAGCAAGGGGTCCAGAGGCACCAGGCGTTTGGCCCCAGCCTCTGGAAGGACAGCCTTCCCTTGACTGAGGGGACGGGAGACGTCCACAGAGCATGCGGACAGCACATGGGCGGGGAGTCGTTCAGAGCCCACCTCCATCAGTACACCACACATCTGCTAAGCCTTAACGTTTATGCCTGTAGAATGGGCCCACACTCGCCCTCCCTCCTGCCCAGGGTGTGGCCGAGAGGATCAGGAAAGCCTGGGGCGGAGGGTGAGCTTTCCCGCAGAGGGCCCAGCGGTAGGTGCCCGGTGGAGAGGCCCTTCTGGGACGTCTGGTCTCTTCAGCAGCTTCCCCTTTGGTCCAAGCGCTACCACTACCCTGGACGAGACCTAAATGAAGGCGTGTGCGTTCTGGCTCCCTGGGGAGTTTCATTTAGGGATGCGGAAAGTTTTAGTTTCATCTCATTGTCCTGTGTCGTGTGATATCCTTATTTTTGTCAACCATTTTTTCAGTACCATGGTATTTACTGAAAAAAAATCTGCGTCTATGTGGATCTGTGCAGTTCCAACCTGTGCTGCTCAAGCGTCAACTGCGCTTAAGCATCAGGGCTGAGGGTCGGTTTCTTGGGGACTGTGACCCCAAGGACAATGGTGTTGGGGGGACCCAAATGGTGGGGGCAGGGCGCAAAGCCTTCCTCTGGGGAGGGCAGGTGGGAGGCAGACAGTGACCACTTGGCCATCGTCACTGTTAACCATCTGTGTGCCCTCGCAGAGTCCACCACAACCCTGCTCCATGGGACTGTATGGGGAACAACAGAGCCCCGCCCACCGTGACAGCATCCCCAGCGGACGGTCCACACACTCCCAGGTCCCAGGACCACCATGTGCCGCTCCTCATCTAGGAGACTCACCAGCCACACTCCCTATAACTTCACGTGCACTCAGCCATCTCTCCTTCGAAAGACCTTCCAAGAGGCCTCGTACCAAGAAAGGCCATTTCCCTTTAAATTCAGCCTTTTCCAGACTTTCTTGAACCTATCTCCTCTCCAATGTTTGCAGAACCTCTGTCAAAAACCACACAGAACAAGTGTTCCATGCGGGGGGCCCTTTGGGGAGTGCGGCTCTAGGAGACAATGTGTCAATCAAAACGTGCTCTTCAAGTGTGACTTCTTTCATCCTGAGCCCCCTCCCCAGCGCTTGCAGCAGGAGTCCGAAAGCCACGAGGTGGGCAGAGTGGGACAGCGGTGGGGTGGGCAAGGCCGGCCCCGAGGGGAGGGCGCCCGTCAGGGGTGGCAGTGGGTGATCATGGATGAGGAGGGCAACCTCATGTCAAGGTCACGAAAGTCAAAGACCAACTTCCCTGATGGAGGGAAGCTCAAGACAGGGCAAGTGAATGGGGGCAGGATTCTGAGTGGGGTCCTCTCAGTGAAAAGTGTTGCCATGACAACCAGCCAAGGCACCACAGCTCGAGGGTCCATGTTGTGTGTTGTTTGGGGGGTTGGGGGGGTGGTGACATCCCAAGGCATCAGGGAGGCAGTTCACTCTCACATGATTCAGGGAGTAAAGTTCCTTGCCCTGTGTGTTTCATCAGTTTCACTTCTTTAATCTAAAGCCAAGGGTCACAGGGCCTGCCCGGGACCCGCCCCTCACGGCGCCCGCCCTCCGTGACTCAGGGCTGCTCCGGGGGCGTGAGGCCCGCTCCTGGGATGCTTCCTCCAGGGGGCGCCCAGAGCCGCCACCAGGTGACCCCCACACGCTCACCCTGTCCAGGGGTGACGGGACCACTTGTGCAATTCTGTTTCCTTCCAACTCTGTATCCAAATTAACAGTGTAAATGAACTTCATTGAACTTGATTCACCAACTGCTCAAAACACAAAACAGCGTAAGAAGAAAGGGAGTGAAAACCATTCAGTCGTGTCCGACTCTTCAGGA